TGTGTGTGTGTGTGTGTGTGTGAGAGAGAGAGAGCTGTCTCTTATACACATCTAGATGTGTATAAGAGACAGTGTGTAACCCTCATCTTGCATGGCTTGGTCGCGTTGTAACCCTAGCCTTCTCCTACAACTGGATGAAGATCAAGATCAAGATCAAACTTTAACGGTCACCAACAAGGCCTAGATTACTACCAGCGATCGGACCACCCATCAACTATTGACGGCCATGAAGGGCGATCATAAATCCGTGGCCAATCATAAATCAACAATCGAGATTGAAGATCAAAGATCAAAGATCAAAGACAAATGACCAATGATCAAGCACGAACCGCTTTCCATCGAGATCAAAGGTCAGGATCTACATCCAGACCAACATCAGGATTGCATGCACTATCTGAGGAACGGTCCAAATAAGAGATTAACAGCCAAAGTCTACGTCCAAGATTAACAGTCAATCTCAACGGGGAAGGTCGAGATCAACGCCGTGGAGCATCTCTCTCCGTCTGCAAGCTCACATATCGAAAACGCGTGTAGCATTTACCGACAACGCAAAATTGCTCTGCACTTTGTAACATATGACCCTCTAGTGCAAGATCCGCTTGGAGAAAATGACTTCGCTTGGAGAAAATGAAATGACTTCGTTTACCACTGCTTCGTCCAACTCCAGTCAAACGTTGGCCCAATGAGACCGTTTTCTTGTTTTGTTTTGTTTTGTTTTTAATCCTATGAGGGTCCATGTTGTAGTCGTGGGTGGATAATAGGCCTCCGGAGGTGCCTGTCGTCATACTCAACCAGTGAGGGGAAGAGATGGCTTGTGCCAACCCCAGGGACAGTCTTTTCTCCAGGGGTTACATTTGTGACCTGTCATGTCCTAATCTTCTCGCAAGTCGAGCCCTATGCGGTGTGACCCAGACCTCTTTATCTAGACCTAGGCGTACACCAACCCGCACCTTCCGAGGAGCCATGGACACCCCGGGTGCTGCCATAGGGACACCGCGAATCCTCAAGGACGACCTGGACACAGGCTAGGTGAAACTGTATCACGTCATGCAGACTCTATAGGGACACTGCGAATCCTGAAGGACGACCTGGACACAAGGCCCCTCTTTTCCTCCATGATGCACCCTTGTACATTCAATGTGACAATCCTCCCTTCCCTCCGTAAGATGACACCCTCACCTAGAAACCCTTCCCCAGACTCACGCCCCAACTGAACCCTGAGTGGGAACTCAGACAGGTACCAACACGGATGAAGCCCGGCCCACAAGCATCGTGAGATCAACCTGA